CATCAAACTTGAATGAAACAAAAACTCCCTGAACCACCCAATTGAATTTTCATTCAGATTTTTCCCCCACTTTTCTTCCTGTGACAAATGAGCATTAAAATCTCCAGCTACACATAAAGGGCACCCCAATGTAGCAATAAAACTGGATAACTCCTCAAAGAACGCCTCTTTATCTGCTTCAACAGAGGGTCCGTACACATTAATAAAACAACACACCACTTGGTTATCCTTTACTATACCCTTCAAAGCTATAAACCTATAGAACATTGGGTCTTAAGAGAGAACTTCGGTAGAAGGGGAATTTCTTGGCTTCTGTGTCTGTTTTCATCGTAGCCATGTTAAATTCACTTTTGGGCAGGCCAGAACTTTGGGTCTTTGTTTTTGGTTACAAATGCAATTAACTTTTATTTGGAATTAGATGATTTTTTTCTTGGTTTAGGGGAAGTGAATGGTGGTTGATGTACCATTTTAGATGTATGTTAAGGAAAGATTAAGTGCTTCAAGTGAAGAGGAAAAAAATAACAAATAAAAATGGTGTGTTGGTGGTGTTTTTGGCAAATAAGAGATGCAGTAGGCATAGTAATTGGGATTTGATGCTGTTGAGAGGTGAAAATATGAAGGTGGCTGGGTTGGAGAGTGGAACAGCTTAGAAGGAAGATGATGTGATTTACAGGAGGCCAGAAACTGGCTTAAAAGGTCTGCCAGTTCGAGAAAATTTAGCTTTTGCCCTGGGGTCCAACAAGATTCAACTTTAGATACTGGCTTGTGTATTTCCTCCTTATGTTGCCCATGTTACATATGTATGCAAAGCAAATGCTATTTAGTTCTAATGTCTGGTATTGTTTCTTTATTTAATTTTGGCCAACTATGGTTACATCATTAAGCCATATGTTTTCATTTATAAATGTCTTAAGTGGACACATGGCAGTTGATAATATTTTACAGTTGACCTTACATGGTTGTAGTTGCCCTGATTATTTGAATTTTAGGTTACGTTTTTTAATACGGTCATCAAAGTTTTCGTGAACAAACCATTCTTTTGAATGCTGGCTTACTTTTTGCTATATTTTCAGGTAAGAGAACTTGAATCAAACATTAGGTGGGATGACATTGAAAGCTCACATGCTCTCGCTACAATAGACAAGGACTTTAAGAAATCAATTAGACTGTTCAAGAAATGTGTTGTGCGCCGAAAATCCATAGAGGGAGATGTGGTGAAGTATCTTCTTGATTTTGGGAAGAGGAGAATCATCCCTAACATTGTCAAAAGATATGGGACTGTTGTTGAAGAATCTCCAAGTGAAAGAAAGAAATATTGGTTGAATGAATCTTATGTGCCATTGCATCTTGTGAAAAGTTTCGAAGAGAGGAAAATTGCCCGGATGTCTAATAAGATGATTTCTGAAAAATCTTCTGAGATAAGTAGGGTGGCAAAGAAGTCATCAAAGAACAAGGGTTTCCCGTATCTCTTCTCTAAAGCAGAAAGGTCAGAGTATTATCACTGTGGGCATTGTAACGAAGATGTCTTCATCAGGTAGAAACAATCATTCTATTACTTTTGAGTGCTTTATCATTTCTAGAAGTTTTTAGAGTTTCATGGTATTGGAACTGTTGTTCCTACGAATCCCTGTCTCAAATACGATGTCAGTCCTTATTTTCAAAATTTGCTAATAACTAATACTGAAAAGGAAAAAAGAACTTAGAAGATATGCTTTGTCAGATACTAGAACATATTAACAAAATTGGCATTTTAACATTTTTTGCTGGTGTTTATAAATAATTGCTCTTTTACGAGATAATGGCACTGAATATATTTGGGATGGAGAATTATTAAGTCTACTCAATTCTTATTCAAGCACTAATAAGTAATTAACCCTTCATAGAGAAATGATCCAATACTTAAGAGTTCAGGGATAAGTTTTGGTTTGAATGGATGTTACCCATTTTCATGGTTTATGGCCTAATACTTAATGAGTTGTTATTCCTTAACTTTTTCTTTTGATTAACTATGATTTTTGTTTTTGTCTTTTTATCAAATTGGCAGGGAAGCTGTCTGCTGTCAGTATTGTAAGGGTAAGTTGTGCTCTTCTATGTTAATAAAGTGTATTTTTATTGTTCTTAAATGCTTGGTTTGTTTTACAAAGTGATGATTGGTTGATGCTATTGCTTTTATGAGCTTCCAATCATACGTGTTTTTCTTTATATATATATTTCACATTTGTGATTAGTTTGATATAATTTCAGGATATTTTCATAAGAGGCATGTTAGAAAATCCGCTGGAGCTATCGTTACTGAGTGCACATATACATGCCATCGCTGCCAAGCTGGCAAGTCGAGTGTCAATGCAAAAAAAGGAGGTAATGTCATGAAAAGAGGAAAGGGTGACACAAAGGGACGGAAGACTAGCGCAAAAAGTTCAAGGAAACTGCCACAAAAAGGTAAAAGGGCTAATGAAAAGTTACTGGCAGTACGAATGTCACTACGGTCACAGAAGGATAAAAAGGTTGCTGCTGCTGTGCCATTGCGCCGTTCACCTAGGAACATAAAATACATTACTTTGCAAAAGAAAAAGCCTGGTGGGTGCAAGAAAGGCAAAAGGAAACCAAAGAAGGCACCTAAGAAGATAAAGGAAATTTCTTGGCAGAAGAAGAGAACAAGGGCTTACCGTAGTTACTGGCTTAACGGTCTTCAGTTATCTAGTAAACCAAACGATGAACGGGTGATGCAATTTCAAAGAAAAATGGTTTTTGCTCCTTCTGAACATATGACTGTCACCCCTGATCCACCCAGATGTCTTCTTTGTTGTGAATCGGGATATGCATCTAATTCAAACTATATTGCATGTGAAATTTGTGAAGGTAAATTAATTTTCATCTTTTTTTAACCAGTTCTCACTATAGGCTACTACCCCCATGCTGATGCTTGAAAATTTCATTGTTTGTATTGTTCCATAATATTTCTTTCAATTAATTTTATGCAGAATGGTTTCATGGAGATGCGTATGGGCTTAATTCTGAGAAAGAAAGCAAGATTATCGGATTTAGGTGTCATGTCTGCCGTAATACGACCCCTCCTCTCTGTCTCAATATGGTGGCCAAAAGAGTTGATGAATCTCAATTGGCTGAATTACAAAATGGTGTTAGTACCTAGAACTGAATCATCTGAGGAAGTACATGGTGCCCTCTCTCCTTACCAGGTTACAAGTTAGAGTCCCAACTTGGAATATAAATTCAAACAAAATTGAAATGCTTTAATGATAAGCAAAATATAGATGCATGACAAACTTTTAACATTGAACCGGAACCATAAACAGTAACATTAACATTTGATGAGAAGTTATGTTACAAGATAGTAGAATCAATGCAAGACCTGATGCTCCTGCAACTGTTGATGAGGCTCGAGTGCTATTACCATGACGACGAATCTTAAATCGGAATACTCGGGTTTCACAACAATCATTTGAAAGATGGTTGCCATTGTAGCCTCTCCCGAGTCGCATCCTGGTAAGTTAGCAGATTTGTTGAATTTGTTAGATGATGGAACAAAAACAACATAGGGTAGATATTCAGTCTAACATATAATTGGTGTAACAGGACTGAGATAAAGTAGTAGGGGGTTATATTTGTTTGTGGGACTAGAGTTACATGTAAATCTTCTGATGTTGAAATCATGCAAGACTTTCTAAACAGTACATTGGAGTCATTTCCAATAGAAATATATTAAGAAATGTTTATTTGAGCCTTCAAACAATACTTGCACGAGTATAAATGTTTTTAGAGTGATTAGAGCAGTAAATGAAACAAGACAAGTCGTTAGTTACTTAAGATTGATTCGGTTAAAATTTTGGTCGATATTCTACTCGAATGGACTCTTTCTCTAGTCTGAACTCTACTCGATTTTTTAATGAGCTGAAGTGAGTTATTTGATAATCGACTCAAAATGTTTGCAAACAATTCAAAAAAAGATATTAATTTTTTAATGTTTTAAATTAAATTGTTAATAAGTTTAACGTTTATATCTATATATATATATATTTGAAAAAAAGCACACAATTTAAATCCCAAGTTTGAGCTTCAATTGAGTTAAGGTAGAATGTTTTGTGCCCAAACTTTTTCGAGCTTGAGTTGAACTTTAATTTTTTATTTTGAGTCGAGCTTTAGAGTTGATCCAAGCTTCAATTTTATTTTGAGTTTAAATTGAATTTGCTAGTTTTAATTTTGTGAGTTTTTGAGTCGAATTGAGTTTAATTTTAAAACTCGACTCGAATATAATTTAATAACACTCGAGCTTGACTTTACTCGTTATACTGCTGGCCAAAAGGACAAATCACCAGCACTTCCCAGACAGTAGTACTAAAACCCAAACCCCTTACTAATAAAGTACTAATTATTTAACTGCTTTTGAACTGTGATAGGGGAATAATGAGCCCATTCAAATTAATGAAATGAAATTGTAACAGTTTAATTTCAAATAAGAAAAACAAAATCGGAAAGTTAAAGTGTAACTGAAAGAATATAGTTCCAATATGAAAAACAACAAACTATATAAAGCCCACTTATGGGTAAATTACATGTTTAGTACTTTAATTATTTTTTATTTTGTTTTGATCACTTAACTATTAATTTTTGTTCAAAATCATACTTAATATTATATTCTAGTTTTATTTTGATCACTCGTTAAAAAATTAATAGAATTGTTGGCGTGATATTTTTAAAAAAAAAGAATCTCAATAATGACACGACATTATCTTATGACGACAACACATTATCATCACATTAATTTTTTTCAAGGCATGATTATAAAATAGAAAATAATTGAGTGACTAATATGGAATAAAAATGACAGTTGAAATATTAAACGTATATTTTACCCAAAGGGCCACTACTTTATGGGTATTTGTGTCAGAAATTACCAAAGTTTTTCTCTCAAATCTCAATATATATACCAAACCAAACCCAACCCAACCCAAAATCACTATAGTTTTACTTGGATAAAAAAGAAAAGAAAATAAGAGAAATAGCAAATGGCATCGTCAAGCTTTGGTTTCTTGAGCCTGGCAATGTTGGTGATGGTTGGAACTCTCTGGGGAGAGCAGGACGGAGTCTCGGCCCAGTGCGAGTTGAGTATTCCGAGCTTGGTATCGCAATGCTCGGAATACGTAAAAATATCAGGGCCGGGGATCCCCCCGTCAAAGAGTTGCTGTGATGTGGTAAAAGGCCTGAATATTCCATGCATGTGCAAGTACGTTACACCAGACGTTGAGAGGCTTGTTAGTATGGAGAAAGTAGTGTTTGTTGCTAAATCATGCGGCTTGACTGTTCAACCTGGAATGAAATGTGGAAGTACGTTTCCATTCATTTATATTTTTATATACATAAATTATTTGATTTTAAATAAAATTATTTGATTTTAAATAAAATTATTGTGTTTGCTTCAGGCTTCGTTGTTCCACCGCATGCTTGAGGAACGGATCTGGGATGATGAGTGACGGGTAAGACATGTGATGTCTCTGTGTTGCCATTGGGATTTATAATCACTAATAAAGTTTATGGTTATTTCTATATTTATTTATCGTTTAGTTTTCTTTAATAATTTATCAACTTACAATTTCTAGAGATGAGGTTGTGATTTTTTTTCATAGTAGATCTCTTTTGGTTTAAATAGAGAGTAGTAGATCATAGATCCAAAACTGAGAAAATCAAAAAATGGATCCGAACCGGAGTATACGGTTCAATTTAGTTCGGTTTTTTTAATTTACGGTTCGGTTTAAGACAATAAATATGCAATTCGGTTTGATTTTGGTTTTTCCATATGAAAAACCGTTTGAACCGAACTAAACCGAATTAAAAAATAAAAGGAAAAAATATCGAAAATAAATCCATCTTGAATTTATTACAAGACAAATTTAAATAAATAAAATCTTAAAACTAGTAATAATTTTTTATAAATTTAAATTTATACATTTGTACTCGATTTAAGCTTTAAATTTATTTTTTTAGAGGTTGAGTTTAAAAAATAGTGAACAATAAAAAACCTCTAAATCGAACCGACTTGAACCGAACCAAAAACCGTGATTTTTGTGTCATTCGGTTTCGGTTTCAGTTTCAATTTTTCAAAACCTACAATGTGCGGTTCGGTTAAGATTTTAGTAAAAATCGAACCGAACTGAATACAATCTTGGGGCTGGTAGATCATTGTTCATTATCTTTTTCAACTCGTTTATTTTCTCTTTATCCTTTACTAAGCAATTACTACGAGTTTTTCGCCTAAATTAAAAAGATTGAACCGTCAAAACCATCCCAACTCTATTTTATTATAACAATATTTGAAAATTAAAATAAATTTATTATTTTGGTTTTACGTATGAAGAGAAAAAAAAGGAATTCATTAAGATTACTCATACTCAAAAATAAAATAAATTAATGAATAATTAATATTTCTATATAATATATCATTAAAAATGATTAAAACAAAAAAGCAAAAGTTATGATTATGTGAGTTAAGTCCGCCATTGCGTTAGTAACATTTGGAAGAAAAGAACCCGTAATGTGAACCCAATGATAGAAAAAAATGGTATTCTCTTTTTAAAGTTATGATTTCAAGCTACTGTTTACAGAGCGTATATGCGTGATCACTTATCAATGAATAAGAAAAATTCTGAATAAATATTAATATATTACTCTTGTAATCATCTCGATTATTAGAAAAAAAAATATTTGGAAAAAAAACAGTCATGCTTGTCATCCATGCATGAGCGTTTCGAAATTCTGAAACGCATATTCAGTGGGTTAAAAAGTTAGAAGCTGCCAAAATTAAACGTGATTGCCTCTTGTTTTCCTTTTTCTATGACCGTTAGGACGTGAGTGAAAAACACTATGTAAAAACAATTTTTTTTTTATAAAAAAGGATAAGCTACGTAGATGTCACTTATATTTGGGTAAGTTTATCTTTTCCTTATTGATGTCTCAAAACTAACAATTTGACTATTGATTTATCATTCTATAACCAATCAATCAATCAACGTTAACCGTCATTATTAGGGATGACGAAATATTGATGTAACGTACTAATCGCTTGACCTGACACTAATTTTGCAATGCGAGATAATAATTTTGATTAGGATTGACTATATAACGTTCTTCACCATCTCCACCGTATTAAGTTCATTAATCATCTATACTAACCAAATTCTCTCTCGTTTCACTCTTTTTACATTTTTTTAGGATCGTTGAATTAGTAAAAATAAACGGACAAACATTTTTATATGTTCTTTTAAACATTATATACATATAAATTTTAATAATATACAATTACCTTATTAAGACTATAATATACAATTACTTTTATATTTGTATTTTTAAATTATCTTTGTAATAAAGTAAGAGTAATTATTAAATAATTTATAAATATGTACATGTGCAACACAAGTGTAAATGAAGACCAGTATATATTAACGTGGAATCGCATATGATAAGCCAGAAATTGAGGCCAAACGTAATGAATTTCTAAAATGAATATCAGTCAATTTATCCATTATATAAATATCTTTTATATTATATGATTTAAATACATTTACAAGATAGTTACATGTGTTATTAACTTATAACATTTCGCTTGTAAAATTGTTTATTCGAGTAATTGAAATAAAAAGAAATATGTAAAGAGGGGAACTTATAAAATTCATTCTAGGGGTGAACTTACGAAGACAGATTATTAATAGAAATATAAAAAAAATACTTAAATTGTATGAGAATTTGAAACTTTCAGGGATTGGGATCAACTAGATCCATCCCGGAATGTAATATCCAAATTTATCAAATCAAAACTAAATTGAGGAAGGATTGTTTTCAGCAACTCCGTATAGTGTAGCTGTACACAATGTTATTTGGGGAGAGGTTGGACAGGGCTACAGATATCTTGGCTCCAATAGCTGCATTGTTTCACACCCTCACAACCTTCAAACCCAAACTGTCGGAATATCAGAGTTAAGGTCTGAAGGGTGACAGTTTGGACTTGAAGGTTATGAGGGCATGACAATTGTATTTCACAAGCGCAATGTCTAGAGCTTGGTTAAGAAAACCAATACAATACTAGTTGAAGAATATTCACTGCCCAAGATATCTACAGAACAACAACAGTGTGATCTCCAAATATAAATATAATTCATCTCTTAAGGATACTAGAAGCAAGTGATGCTCCTCCAGTTATTTCATTAACCCATGCAAGCAAGAACGGAGTCTCGGCGTTCCCTGTTATGTTCTTTTCCCTGAAGATAAAGACGACGGTCAGAAACCAAGGAATTGATTAAGAAAACCAGATGCTTGGTGTGCATGATGCAGTTTTGACCTAGCCTCTGTAAGGGCTTGTTGTATTGCAGACTCCATTAAGCTTCCCGAAGCCGTGTGTTCTTTTGGGATGGGAACTGCAATCAATACTCCATTTCCGAGATTGAGTTTCCTGTTTGCATCTGTAGTTAAGGGAAAAAAAGTCATGAAGACAAAACTACTAGCTCTTAATGAACTGAAGATACGATCGAATGAATTTTGTCACTTGCTGATTAATCGTGCACATTCTTCTGGGCTATCGACCCGACAAGGCACCTAGATTATCACCACCAACCAAGAAAAAGAAAACACTATTTATTCTCCTTTGACCAAGGCATTCAAACAGTAAGATTGCATGTAAATCTGTAAAACTATGTAACATTCTAAGACTGTTTCTTTGTGCACATATCAGAACCATAACATCTCGATTTGACACTCTTACTTGAAGTTTCAACCGGAAAAGCAATGTCTCTCTACAACAAATTAGAAACCTTCCAAAATGCTGTGATTTTCCTAACCAAAACCACTCCTCATTTTCCAAGAAAACAAAGAGAGAAGAAAAGCAGTTCAAAGAAGCAGACTCATTTTTCATTGATCTTCGTTTTGATATCTAATATGAAGTTAACCATTATACAGATCTAATAGAATGTTATAATGATAGAAATGCAAATACCTTGATACGATGTTCTATGAGTTGTCTATTTATACCTTGCAGCCACTTGTTTGAGTAAAAATAACAGGAAACTCATTGGTCTTGTAAGCAGCCACACAAACACCCTGTTTCCTGTATTAACAACAAAAACTTACAATGTTGCACTAACGTATAAAGATTGATAATTCAGTATGAAGCCGGAATCTTTCGAAAAAAACTTGTCGACAAAGTGAATAAGTGCCAAATATTCCAGTGTCCTTGGAATATCTAATATAGATTTTACACCAGCGGAGACAACCGCCACTGGTGTCCTTCCCAGCTCTGTGAGATCAGAGTATATATCCATTGCTGCATTTTCAAACATACGCAGAAAAGTACAATTAGTAGAGCATAGAAAATTCTTACAATTTTAAATAAGTCTATGTTCTCATGAAAAAAACAAACAATGAAATGGTTCATTGGTTGAAGAGTCTTAAACAGTATCAGAGACAACCAATTTGTAGAACTATTGCACATGTCAAAGTACGACTTACTATGCTCGCCATGTCTATGCACTCCCCCGGTAACAAAAACAGGTATACCAACCTGCAAGTGCTGAATGTCTTAGAGGAGAAACTACCAAGGGTAAAAATTACGGCCAAGAAGATATTAAAAATAAAAAGCATCACCTTTCTGATTTTACGAAAAACTTAAAAAACTATAATGATTCATCAAATTTATGTATCGAATTGAATTCTAAAAATAACTATAATACTTCACCAATAAGCTAAGCTTATTTTTATGCAAATGTATGGTACAAACAGGACACAACTTTTAATGTCTGGTCGGAGGAAATTAGTACCGGCAATGACTCCATCGAAGGGAAACGGTATGCACTAAATACTTTTTGTCTTATATTACAACATCAATCTAATATATTTCAGTATCAAAAGATAGCTTACAATAATGGTTGATGTGTGTTAATTTCAGTACTTTTCAGCTCATCTTTGGGTTAATTTCAGTAGCTTTCCGCTCAGATGTGGGCGGTGCAAAAGATAATGCAAAGGAAAACGGAGGCGCGGCCAAGGGCCGAGGGCGGAGGCTGGGGCTGAAAAGGTCCTGTCGGGAAGACGGGTATTTCTTCAATTCTTATTGTCCAACTCTTCTTTAGGGTTTAACTTTTAGTTTTGTATTTTATTTTGGTTAAACAACACAAAGAGTCCCTTAACTCGTAAGATGTTTGAATATTTGGGATATCTTTTAAATCTTATCAGACAATCACTATTTTTTTAATTTGTTTTAATTATGGTCGTGGTCATTGTCTTTGACCGTTGTTAGAAAAACTGACATAACAAGTTAAAATCCTATTTTTCCTAAAAAAAAAAATCTTTAAAATCTTTAAAATTTGAAGTCAACGATTATCGCTTCTTTCATCATTAATTTGTTGTTTTTGGCTTAATATAAAATAAGTGTCCAAACTATATGTTTTCACGAATAAGTGTCTAAATTATTTTTAGCTCATCTAGGTCCTAAAGTTATAAATGTTTTCACTTTAGGTGTCTAACGTTACAAATGTTATTATTTATGCGTCTTGGTTGGAATGACCGTTAAAAAGGTTCGTTAAGTGACATGTGTCACAAACCTAGAATTTTAAAATTTTTATTTTTTTAAATATTATTTAAAAAAAGACAATCTGTGCGTCCTCCCCTCCTCCCTTTCGTGATTTTCAATTTTCATGGCTAAACGGCCAAAATTCAATCGGTCGGCCGACTAAAGGCTAAGGGGCCAGTTTTCACAGTTGATTAAACAACCAATTACCACGATTGATCAAATGAATTTAAGAGATTGGATATTTGAGCTTTTAGGGATTTGAGAATTTTAGGTTTTGAGATGAAATTAAGAGTTGTAACCGATTAGCGGGTGTCGATGACGTATGGGTGGCCCGCCGCTAGCATATGGGTGGCCGGAGATGACCAACATTTGGAGTAAATGGGAATAAAATAAGAGATTTTAAGAGTTTAGGTTTTTTTGGTATTTTAGAAAAATGGGGTTTTTCAAAAATAAAATATTTTTAAGTTTTTTAAAATAAATTTTTAAAATTATCAAATTATGGCACATATCACTTAACGGGATTTTTTAACGGTCGTTAGCCCCGAGACATCTAAAATAGTAACGTTTATAACGCCATATACCTAAAATGATAATGTTTAAAACGTTAGACACCTAAATATGCCGAAAAATACTTTAAGCACCTATTTGTGAAAACAAATATAGTATAATTTAAGCACTTTTATATATATATATATATTTGGGTACAACTTATTTTATACTTAAGGCTTGTTGTTTAGTGATTTCATGTCAAAAAAAATTATTGAACTGCTCATATTTTTTTATTATTATGTTTTTTTCTTTTGATTTAAATTGGTCATTAAATCTTTCAATCTTTTTAAATATCAATCCAAACTAAAAGTTAAAATCCTTTTATATATCATTGTCAATCATCGAATTATATTAATCTTTTACCAAACAAAATTTTTCCGCCATTAAGATTATGACAAATGCACCATTCATCGAAAATTTTTCAAAATCAGGATGTGTAGATTTTTTTTTTATTCTTTTTTCTCATTTTGTCGTTTTTACTTACTACTGATGAATACTTTATTCAATGAAAAATGCACAAGTTCCAATGCCTTCCAAAGTGGACCTTCTCCTCGCACTTTTACACACAATACATCTCCCCTTGCAAAAATAAATACTACGTATACAGCTTCTTTTTTTTTGTACAGCAATTGTAAATTATACATTTTAAGGAACACCACCATAGATAGAATAATAATTATAACTGTATGTAAATTCATTATTTCTTGGAAGCATCGGTGGTTGCCCGGCACAGTGCAACTGCGGTCTTCGAACCAGATTGACGACCCAGATGGTCACTGATGAAATCGCCGGCCAACATGAGCTTTGTCAGATCCACGTTGGTTTTCACGCCGAGGCCGTTAAGCATATACACCACGTCTTCGGTAGCAACATTCCCTGAAGCTCCCTTTGCATACGGGCAGCCACCCAATCCCGCTACCGAGGAATCCACGGTACTAATCCCCATCTGTTGATACAACATAACACATGCCATGGTTCAGTCTCACCTTGTAATAAATCTAACGGTCCATAAGATTGATGACAAAGAAGGAAGCTGGTTTTCAGGTATCCATCACTGGTTTCGAACTGTGTTGTTATTGTAAACGAACTAATTGTTATGTAACCATTCTATATATGGCTTCACTGTGTTTTTTGAAGGCTTACTTGGAGAGAGATCAAAATATTTGAAAGAGATTGTCCTAAGTATCATGGAAGTGAACGGCAAGCTTTTCAGCCGGAACTACTGCCATTACTGCTTCAAGCATCGGAACCACAGTACCTGTGCCAAATAGAAATGGCAAAGAACTCCTCAGAACCAATGTTTGACTCACATGAACGAGATTTCAGAGAATTTTACATGCTTCTTGCACAAATAACCTTCGATTCTTCAAGGTGACGATAATCCCAAATTAAAACGGTAACTCCTATTTGTTTTTTACATTTTCTTTTCTTTAAATTGAAATCTTAAAATAATATCGACAAAGCATGCATGTATGGGAAGACATTGCTTACATGGGTGGATGCCTGTAGGCAGCATGCATGTTTTATACATGGATTTATGCATGCATACATGTCAATGTAGATGTATATGCAAATATAAATGCGTGCATATACAAACTTGTTCAGCATATGAAATAGAGTAGGGGGGAAAATAATACGAGACAATCATTTGCAATATTCTATTTCTTTTTTGTTCTTTATACCGCCACATGAACGAATGTAGTGCATAATTCTAAAATTTCGAATGAGGAAAACAAAATAAAGAACGGAAAACATTAGCTAAAAGAAAGCAAATGCAAGTGATTTGCTTCCTACTCAACGACATACTTCTGTTTCTAAAAGGTGACAATCTAGATTCTAGAGGATTACCAGGGGTACAACTCCAATTGTATCACCAAGGGAAATTTCGAAACAACCCATATCGTAAAGTTCCTTTCCCACAAAGGCCACTTTGGACAGAGGAATTGCTCTTCCACTGGACATCCAACCACACATGAAACATACCTGTAAAATTTTAGCACCATGTAATTTGGACATTGTACCAGCCAAAATGAACAAAACACAAATAAAATACTCCAACTAGAGTTATATTGCATTTGATGTGTCATTGAGCAACATTTTCAGAACTAGAATGGTAGAAAAGAAAGTTAAATATACTTGATTACAAAACAAATTCCAAGCATCTATTGACAAACTATAATTCAAAAATCTACTCTGAGACAACTTCTATACTAGCCAAACATGCTGAGCTAATTTATCAAGAATTCTCCTAAAAACAACGAGAAATGGACAAGAAAAGATGAGCAAAGAAATAAAGGTTTGAAGGCTCAAATTTGCAAATTTATATTTTAATGATTCATTACAGCAGACATCAAGAATTTTCCAAAGTATAAATTGTACACACCTGATAAATCTGCAATTGTGCCAAAGCATTTGATATTTAGTTCCAGACTTCAAGTTATTTGATACCAATAAGCATGTGTATGTCATCACTCGAGTTTCAAATAAACTGAGAACAAGACTTACCCACGCACTGGAATTGAATGCTCCTTAGCAGCAAGGCAAACACCACGGTAACGTACTAGGCTTTCTTCAATGCTACAATTAATTTTGACTTGGAAAAAGACTCTGAAGCAGATACAAAGACTGCTACTTCTTTTGCACCTGCTGCAACAGCAGCTTCAAAACCCTAGAAGAATATGCACGGCAGATTAGGAAATTTATATGGCATCACTATGAGGATGATATGTCTTTCAAGGAAAATTATCAACCTTCAAATTAGGAGTTAGAACGGGCAATCTGGCATCCTCTATGTTGCAAACTGCTTCCATTACATCTTTTGCATCTGCTAACTATATAAAAAGGTAAAGAATAAATCAATAGTAGGTTATCTATATAGCATCATGGACAATCTTAAATAGAGGTTACGTTGGGTCAAATAAAAGAGTTACTAAGGTAATTAAAAAGCAAGTCTCCTAATAAGGAAAGACTTCCAATAATATAAAACAATCATAAATAAGATCTCCATATACTTCTCTTAATAAAATATTATTCAGCTGATTTCCTAATAATAATAAAACAATTTACGCTTAATAATAGTATTGAATGCAAAGAAAACCCGTAACAACTACATTTTGATGAAGCAAGATCACTAGTTGCTCTCAGGAAGCCAAGGAAAATCTGGAATTAAACCCAAAAACAACTGCCTCATTGCTCATGGTTATAAGGTCAACTCCAATTTTTCATTGACTTTCTTTGAAAACCAACTAAAAATGCATCCAAATTGAAACAGACATTTTCCAAGGCTGTGAACATCATATGCATCCTCTATCGGTTATAAAAATAATCATCTAATCAAATCATATGGAATGGAATGGAATGAAAACCACAGAAAAGAAGAAAAAAAATAATGTACTATCTCAATCTAAAATAAGAAAGTCATGGTACCTGAGGAACCATTTAGGAGATACAAAACTTGTAGCTTCAACAACAGGCAACCCTGAAGCCGCCAATCTCTGAACAATTCAACCTTCACAGACGTAGGCACAATATTTTCTCATTCTGTAATCCATCCCAAGAAAGAAAACACATTCCGCATATACAGAGATAACTTATTAACCATTTAAAAATCCCGGAAATGAATATTACATAAAATCCTAATAGTTTCAAAAAAGAAAAGTACACTGTACACTACTCTATTCAGGTTATTTATTACCTTGTGTTTTATGTCCCGTATGGCTCTGTCATTGCACTTGGAGCTATACTGCTGATCTGACCGTGTCCTTGATTTACTAACATGTCCAAGTTTCACCCTATTCTTGCTTAAGCTTTTAGCCCTTTGGTTAAAAGCTTCTCCTTCGGACACATCCCTCACATGCCTTCTCCATGGGAATGTCTCCCCTGTATATTCTTCATGATCCTCACTGGAGAACAGATTTTTCAATAATTTCAATAAATTGATAACTGATAAATGCAGAATACTAACCATTTACAGATTATG